AACTGCTTTCTGCTCAACAGTTTCATCGCATCTACATTCACTGTTATGATCATGTCAGGTAAGCTGGCAGCAAATTCTCTTACTAATATTATAAATATTAATGGAAGCATTTCTACGCTATTTAATCCTTTAGATATATATTTAAAATTTCGCCATAGATATTAGTACTTTCTGTTTATTGGAAATAAATAATTTGTGTATATATATATATATATATATAAATCACAAAACATATCCCTTTAATTGGTACTTACGTACTATCGCAACAATGCCAACATTTAAGATAACTCGCCAAGTTGGTAACCCGATTTCGCAAGTGTCGTACTCACTGAATTGGCATTCAAGTACTTCTTTCGTATAATGTCACCAATATGGTTGCAATAGTACGAAAATACTCTATAATTTATTGTAAATGGAAAAATATAAATGCGTAAGAATTCTTTTATATTAATGTGGCATTTTTATATTAAATGCATATATATATATATAATGAAAGGATTTAAATTAAAATAATTTAATCTTTTTTTAAACAATTTGAGCCTAACAAATTATATAACTATGTGTTATGGCATCGGAAACAGAAATAAACCCTTATACTTATTAAAATTATACAAACGGAAATTTATAATTAAATTTACATTTAGCTTTCTAAAACTTTATTGGAAAAAATCCGGCAATTCGTAAAATTCATTTTTAATCATTATTAATAACATGCTCTTTTCTTTTTATAATTGTTGAACTCTCTATTCAAAATAACTTTTTCTTATTAATATAAAAAAAAAAAAAAAAAAAAAAAACTAAAAAATTTTTTTTTTTTTTTGGTTTTTTTTTTTTTTTTTAAATGAAATTTTGCATCATTTTTAATCTCTTATCATCATCTAAATCATCTTTAATCATCATCTTAAAAATCATCTTTAAAAAAAAAGAGTTCTAAGTTTTATATTTCTACTCCAACGATAGTCGTATTAATACGAAATAAAAGTTGTTGTTTTCATCAAAGGTTAATGGTTTTTTTTTAATGATGCATTTGACGTAAAGAAACTTTTTATCACTCAGCAACTTCCTAATTCATTAGAGATATGAAATAATCTTTCAATTATTCTTATCTTACAAGCTTTTATTTACAAATATTTGTATTTGGACAAAACATATTGGTTGTTGGGAACTATTTTACAATAAGATTCTTCTTAGAGAGAATAGTTTAATTTATAAACCTTTTCTATTAGATAAATTCAAACTCAAAGCTCCCTCTCTATTAAAATGTATAATTTTTGATATACAGTTCTTTGCTGATTCATTATCCGCTTATATTACCCTTTGAAGGGCAAAGAGAAAAGTTTGTTCTATGTATGTAGATAATAAATTTATCTGAAATAGAGTGATTTTACAAAATTAAACTTGATACTCTATTCAATTATTTTATGTATATATTTAGCGAAATTGATTAAAAATACTTCAGACTTAAATCTTGTTATTATGTCGTTTAAGGAAAATATCCACTTTTAATCGTTTCATCTATTATTAAAAGTGGATATTATTCAAGATAGCTGTTATACCCGTTCTTTGCACGGGGTGAATTGAAAAATTAAACAATACAGATTGAAGGATAATGAAGTTTTTAATGAGTTAATTTTACGTGAATTGCAAATTAAACAAAACAAAAAAAGCTTTTTGCGTATCTCAGCTGAACAAAAATATCATGTTTGTTGAATTTTAAGTCTGTAGATCTAATAGTTGATAAAAAGGATTTTTTTTTATCTATAAATCCCCGTAACTCTCTTGAGGGTTGATTTTCGAAAACACCTTCCTAAGCTGATCTCTTCTCAGCAAAAGTAGCACATTGTTAAAAATTTTGTGTAATGAACGCTTAAAATAGTATATAAATAATTTATATATGAAAAAGTGTAATATGTTAATATTACTTTTTGTTGTATTTATTTTATGTTAAAATTGTAATTAGCCTCACACTCCGCCTGTTCAAGCTTTCGCAGTTTCTGGCACCTGGAGTAGACAAAACAAAATGCAAAGTTTTGCATCACACATAAAAGATATATACTGTCGCGGGCTTTTTTGCAAATGGCAGAATTTTTTCCTACTTTCTTAACAATTATGTTATATTTTGGACACTTCACACAATATTTTTTAAATTATAGCCTATATATTATTCTGATGTATAAGGTATATTATTGTAAAGTTTCATTAAAATCCAATCAGTTGTTTTTGCGTGAAAGACTACCAAACATCCATACAAACTTTCACGTTTATAATATTAGTAAGGATATTGTCAGAGGGGTTTTATATTGATACTGAATACTGTTCAGAAACTAACAATTCAGGTTTGTTATAATCCAAACCAAATAATTACACATGTTATGACTTATATTTATTAATTACGCCTTTAATTTCAATTTTAAAAAAAAGAACTCTATGCTATTGTATGCGATACACTTGCATTGAAAAATAAAATTTAAACATCGAGGGTTTCGTAGTTTTAGAAGTTTTCTTGATGAATTACTCAATATCTCAGTAAAATTTACATATTTAATTTATTTTATACCATTTATACTAATCTCTAACATAAATATTTAAATGTTGAAGTTAAAACCGTACGTGTAAAATTCATGTAATTCCACTTTGAGTGTTGAACTTCAAGACATAACCACTCAGCTTTCGCAGTCGGTACAAAACAAAAAGAATAAAGAAGTTTTTTAAAAAAATCATTCATAAAATATAATAACTTTTGTTTTTCAAATGAATTAAGGAGAAGCTAACCTACTTAAATTATTTATCTCAAGTCCTTGAAGAAAAGTGTTTTTTGAGAAACCCAAACACCCTTTCTGTATCTAAATATTTTTTTTATTTCTAATGGGGATGCGGAATGGTATTTAACCATTGCAGATCTAGTATATTCCCTAGAACAGGGACAGCGAACCATTGGCACACGTGCCATTGATGGCACACACAATATTTTGGGCACACCACCGATCAAAACGGTTTGCATTTTAATTCAAAATAACAAAGTTCACTATGAAGTACTACGAGAAACATGAGTGATCGGTCACAGTTTTCAGCGAGATTTTCTCAGTTAAAAGAATTATCGAAAACGCACAAGTTTTTTTATGTAACTTGATGTGACTTCATTTGATAAACTAAAGTTGTCCCAATTCTATTGGTTGTAAATTGAAAAATTTGAAATGCAACTCTGATTGATTTCAAGTCTAGTTCAATATGGATTCAAAAATTTGTTGAAAAAAAGGAGACAGTTGGAATTGATTAAAACAGAAAGATTAACAAGCAATATATGTTAAAATGCTAGTAATGAAATTTTGGAAACATGGAATTCAATTTCAGATACATTTAGCTGTTCGAAAAAACTAGTTCATGCTATTTTAATCATATTTTCATCTACCTATGTCTGCGAGTCATTATATTCAAAGATGAATAAAATTAAAGAGTTACATACCGTTTGGAAGATTACTCCAATTCAGCTTGCCTTCTGTGGTAAAAGTAACATCTTACGATTCTAAGTTATTTGTCAACTAATCTACCGCAACAGAATTCACACTAATGTTACTTGAGTTTGAATTACATTTATAAACAAAACATTCACTACTATACTGTGCAAAATGTATTTTTTCGTTGTAATTAAAGAGTTTTGAGTCGTTAGTATTTAGTTGTATTCTTTTCTCAATAATCACAAATCAAAATTATGTGTGACGGCACGTCTATACCTCCTTAATCATTTCTTAAAGAAAAAATGGCACATTGATGTTAAACGGTTCGCCACCCCTGCCCTAGAAGATAGAATATATTCTTAGTGCGGCACCTATAGGCGGTATACTAATCACCACAAGTAATTTTGACGCTCAGTTTCCAACCCAGAGAGAAGCACTTGAGCTCTGACAATGTAAACCGTTCTAAAAATCAAATTTTTCAGAAAGCACCCAAGCCAAACCGGCACTCAAAGGATCTCTTACATGCCACATAATGATACAACATGGACGCAGGCGATTTTTTACATCATGAACATCCACCGACTTGGGCTGGAGTTGAACCCGCAAACTTGAACTTACAAGGCTAGCGCCAAACCAACTACGCCACCCAGCTGGCTATGAGTCTAAATATAAAAATTAGTTATGATATAAATATTATTTCTACAAGCATGTTCACTGTCAATATTTCTATTGGGATTAAATTATAATTCTGCTTAGATTTAATGCATAGAAATTTACTCAAATTAATATCGAATCACAATACGAGAGAAGGCAAATTTTAATTACACATCATGGTGAGTTTTATTTTACAGGCTCGGCAAATGAATATATGTCACGTATTCAAGATATTTACTTACTACTCAATTATTTTAGCCAAAATAAATCTCGCTGACTCATATATCAGACTTAAGCACGCTTCAAGCAATTATCGTTTTCATCCACGAAGGTAGATAATTAAATTATAAATAATTCGCTGCAAAAGCAGATAATTATCAATATTCATATTTTCACTTATATATCAATAAAACTCTCTAACTACTCTTGAAAAGTATGCATTATATATAAACTATGAAGTATATATAATAACACTAGAATCTTTTTTTAAAAAAATTTCTTTAAATTCATTATATAAATATTAATCACAGGAAGTATTCGGCTCTTTTTAATGTATCGCATACTTCCCGTTTATACAAAAGTATTCGTATGATAAAAGATTTATTATGATACCTTACAAAACACACATAATTTTTTTTCAATTCCTACTATTAGTTCACTCTCTCCCTATATACATATATATATATATCTTGTTCAAATTTTTAATCGTTAACAAAATAACTTATATTCATCCATTCAAGCTCAAATACATTTTTTTAAACTTGTGGTTGATGACACTTGATGTTTATACAGTTTTTCAATTATTAATTCATAAATTAAATTAAAAAATGAATAAATAGTAAAAATAATAATAGTTTAACACCATTTATAGAAAAGGAAATTGTTCATTGTGTTTCTGTAGCGCAATATACAGCGCGTTGGACTTCTAATCCAAAAATCGTGGGTTCAAATTCCACCTGGGATGGTCTGATTTCTGAGAGAATGTGATTTCTTTTTAGTATACTATTTTATTAGAATAATTAAATTTTTTAATGAATAAATAGTAACAAACACAAAAATAATAGTCCAACACCCTATATAGAAAGGAAAATCGATTTCTCTGTTGCCGCTTAATATTGTGATTCTGTCATATGTATATGTATATTTATATTAATTGTAACTATTTAATAAAAAGTAACTGAAATAACATTTTTCTTTGTTGACCTAAGTAGGAATTAACTTAATTTTTTTATATATTACTTGTTAAAATTTATCGCATACTTCCCGTTTATACAATGGTATTTTTATGATAAAAGATTTACTATGATACTTTACAAAACATGTTTTTTTTTGTTTCTACGTTACCTAGGGGTCAAGTTACAATCAATTTTATAAAATTAGAAAAACTGGTAGTGGGTTTTTAATCGACCAGAAGTGGGCATTTAAATTGTTCAAAATCTATCATAGCGTATCTGATAACTCAAAATATTATGAATGTATTTCTATAAAACTTTTGAACCTGATATTTATATTATTTTCTAGAGAATGTACTAAAACATTTCTTATTGTAGGGATGTTTTTTGAGTTACAGTCTGTTACCTAAACAATGATCTCATAAAGAATGTTACATTTCTTACAATACTTACTCGATCGGCTCTAAAATTTTTATAATTAAATAAAATATTATATTTAAATGAAATATTAAAATTTTAGTACATTCTCTAGATAAATGCATCTAATTTGTTTTAGTAATACTTTTACTGATAAAAGTTGATTAATTTTTTCTCTAATTGCTTTGAAAATTTCTAAAATATTGCTAAAGTTTCACTTATAATTGTGATTTTTGTAAAATTTATATTATTTTAATTAAATATTGTTATATTTAATATTTAGTATTTATTGATATTGAGTCCTATAAAAAGAGCATTTATATTCCATTAGTGCACCATTTTTTTAAAAAGCTACTTCGAATGTGTTCGAATACCTCAAAATTTTTTATCCATTCCAATAAAACAAACAGTTTACTGAACAGCTTTTGAGAATAAAATAATACTGGAATAAAATATGCTTCCCTCTTATATTATCAAAAGCCAGAACCACCAGATAAAATTGAACTCTGGAAAGAACTTCGAGAGCCGAGAAAAAGATGAATGCAGGAATATAAGATTCTTGTTTTTTAGACCCTTAAATCTTCAAAGGAACCTGAACTGAAGTAGAAAAAAAAATATTCTCATTCCTTCACATACAATTTTCTGTTCACATTCCGTAGTATATTAAAATAGTTGATGTTGAATTATAATTTAATATTGTTACATTCTGAATTTAAACTATCAAAGGAAGATCTTTCTAATCATCCAATTAATCCTTTAACTATCACGTTATTTTGATGATTTGGGCACAAAAATTGTCATTTTATAATTGCAAAAATTAAACGTTTAGCACAAAATAAAATATACTTAGTAGTTAAGAATTGATATTCTGAATTACTTGCATAAAAAATTTATAGGTATTGTAGTAATTTCATATTCGTTTGAAGTGTCTGCCCCACACACACACACAGCGTGGCTTTGGTAAAGTTCTTCGCTAGCTAGTAGAGAATTATTTTCTTAAAAATAAAATTAAAATAAAAAAAATAATAAATGAATGTCTATTAGTCGCTCAATCACTCAGCTTTGTATGGTATAACTGGAAACACACTTTTCCAAGCACAGACCAACTCCGTAATTATTATACCAGAGACAGAATCGTGTTTCCTTCCTTATCTTTTTTTCATTTGCATCCTTTTTTGAACAATAAACTTTGCAATGTCTTGTAGTCTCACGTCTTGCAGGTGTAGGAGGAATATAGAACATAAAATATTGCTCGATATGACGAGCAGATGGGATTTTTGTCCAAAAGCTGCATCATCATATTAATGAAAAGCCTTTCTCCCACTTGGATTTTAAATTCTAAAAATGTAATACATTTCCCACAACTACATTTTTACTAATCCTCTTGGACTACTCAGTGTAAAAACTGGTGTGCGAAAGGCAAGCAACAGGGTTTTTTTTTTTTTTTTGCCGTAACTTCACGAGAAATCATCCGAGAGGCATGAAAGTTTAGAAATGAGAGGTAGCATTTTGTCCTTAAACGATAACGAAAGCATAGTTGAGCAAAAAACAATACAATGCATATCGTATTGAATTAAACAAAAAAAAGTCTTTATATTGAACTCATTTTATCGTCACAATTTTGTAACGATACTATGTATATTACGATCCCACACATGTTGTATGAGATTTAAATCGAGGGGAACACTAGTCTATCCATTCGAGAGTGATACCTTCAATTTCCTCTAATTTCAGAACATCGGCAATCCGGTGTGATCGTGCATTGCCATCCATAAAAATTAAGTCTGGTCCAATAGCACCTCGAAACAGACGCCCATGGGGAAGTGACACCTCATTTCAATAGCGAATTATGGTTACAGAACATTTGTCGAAAACGAGGGGTGGCAGCGGTAGCCGAGGGGTATAGGTATCGGATCGTGGCTTGCCTTGTCACGAGTTCGAGCCCAGTACCACTAAAGACCCTCCGTGTAGGGCAGCGATGCACGTTAAATCTATAGAGAACTCAAACGTCCTCCCGTTGGTGTGGTAGTTAGGAGAGGCGAGTGCCAGATCAGATGTTGTCCACGTCCCTTGACCATGGTTCAAAATTACGCGGTTCGTCGCCAAAAGCCCTCGTGTAGCTGTACAGTGCGACGTCAATATTTAATCAATTAAGTCGAAAACGTGCAGCTCAATCCGCCCGTTCAGCATAATGCCTTCCTAGACGACAACCCCCAAATCTCCGTAACTGTCTCTTTCTGTGAGGTTATTGGAATGAAACCATATCCCAACTTCTCCCCCAAATCATCTGGCGTTGCGAATTGCTTGTAGCACTCATCCGTATAGAGGACACGACTCCATTGAGGAGATGTCTAGTTTTTGTGCTCGTAACACCACTCTAAACTGTGCCACCGATAACTCACTTTCAAAGGGATGAAGCATTCAGGACTGCAGGCGAATAGGCCACCTTTGTGAAGGCATCTGGCCACAATAAACCGCAATCTTGTAGCCATATTGCGGCACACAGTTGCTGAGCAATGGCACTCAATAACTAGTACAGAGACCTTATAGCTTGCAAGATGATACATCAGTCATCCATCGCACTTCTTTTCCTATGGTAGCAACCACCAATCTTTCTAACAGCTGTATCTATGGTTTGGAATGCTTTCCAAGAGCATGAAACGTCACTTTTGTTGGTTCAAAACTCTTCATCTACACTAGTTAAACTACGCCGATCATTCATCCACGTTTGAAGATGTCCAGTTGATTTCTTCTAGCCATATTTCACGAAAGAACTCATTTTCACCAGCAGTGAATGTCTTTAATTGCAGCTCTATTTTTCCTTCTATTGTAGTTTTGAGCTGCACGGGCCAACCGCATCCTTTTCGCGTACACTCACATCCCCTATGATGATTTGTTCCTGATATTTGCATACGCATCAACAATATACTGAATTGCATGTTCATTGTACTGATCACAAAAACCCCTTTCTAGTAATTTCATGGTTGTGTCTAAAATTTAATTTGTTGTTTAAGTTTTGCACACCAGTGCAATTAATCAGCAAATTTGCTGAGGTTTTTCCGGGTTCTATTAGGAGACGCTTTCATAATTTTAAAAGATATTTTGTGTAGACTTTTGTATAACACGAAAATATGATTGTTGCAGATTCTTATTCTGTTATAGACTTTCATATACAAGTAATGGAGAATTACGGTTACAGAATATTTGTCGAAAACATGGGATGGTCGCAGTAGTCGAGGGGTATAGGTATCCGATCGTGGCTTGCCTTGTCACGAGTTCGAGCCCAGAACCACTAAAGACCCGCCGTGTAGGGCAGCGATGCACGTTAAATCTGTCAAGAGCTGAAACGTCCTCCCGTTGGTGTGGTGTGGTAATAAGGAGAGGGAATGCCAGCTCAGGTGTCGTCCTCGTCACTTAACCATGGCTCAAAATTACGAGGTCCGTCGCCAAAAGCCCTCGAGTAGCTGAACAGTGCGACGTTAATATTCACTCACTCATTCATTCATTTACGACTAATAGAATAAAAATGTATAAGAATTTTCAGTTACATATCTCCTACACATTAATTTTTTCCGCATATCTTCTTGATTGTTGTAAAAATTATTTATAAACTGAAAAGAAATAAATTTTTAAAATACGTGTGTATAAAATATGTTAACGACCCCATAACTCTTAACAGAAGAATGAAAATAATAATATATTTTATCAAACACTTCTCTAAATCTTATTTGGACAAATACTCTTTCGAAACTAAAACAAAAGTTTAAAAAATATTTGGAGAACGCATTAAGATAGAGGATATTTTAAATATTAAATGAAGTAAAAAATATAAAAGGGAATTTAAATTCCCCGAATAAAAACTGTTATTTTTTTCCTTACTTTTTGAAAGTACATTTATAATAATATAACCAGACTTATAAAATATATTTTAGTTAGATGTGTCTAAGATAAACATTTAACTTTTCTAATGCATAAATATTTATTTAAGAGGAAACAGGGAACACTGTCAGGTTTTTTTAAAAAAAACTCTTGTATTTATGTCTCAGATTCGTTCTTTTTTTTTTTTTGTTTTTTTTCCAAAAATATATATTCTAACAGATTAAAATTTAAACCAAGCCATTGCGTTTTCAAAAATAACATATTTGCGGACATAAATTTTCGATATTTTAAAGAGATAGATTATAAACAAAATGACAACGTACATAATTTGAGTTATTATATCAATTGTTAAAGGTAGAGAAAGACTTGTTTTAAAATATTTATATTTTATGTGAATGTGTGTGTGTCTCACTTATCCATTACGGCACATAATTCTTTAAGTATTATGAATTATTGAATACAGTTTTCTCATTTTAAACTGTAGAAATAATAAACC